TGATTACCAGAATGAAGGGAAAATTTTAATAAAGTATAATACAGTTTTGATACAAAAAATTGACGCCCAACCTGTGGATTTCACACCTGAGGATTTCGCCCAACCTGTGGATTAATTTTGCCTTCTAGATCGGAGTGTCGTTTGTGGAGAAGATGAAGAGATGACACTAATGGAGAAACTGAATGCAGTCCGTTTGTTTTCCTCTTTTATGTGCAAAATTCAATTTTTTTTTTTAATGAAGTGGACGATTTTGGGCTTTTTAGAGGCCCCTAAAATATGAGGCCCAAGGCAGTGACCTCACTTGCCTTGGGTCAGGGTCGGCCCTGCCGCCATGGCTGTTTCTTTCTATATTCTAGCACTTAACAACCTAAACATGGGCTACAAATTCGTGTACTCGGGCAAATGTACAAGATAAATTCTTGTTGGATTTTGTTTATTATCAGAAATGGACATGATTTATGATTACCGGAATGAAGGGAAAATTTTAATAAAGTATAATACAGTTTTGATAAAAAAAAATTGACGCCCAACCTGTGGATTTCACACCTGAGGATTTCACCCAACTTGTGGATTAATTTTGCCTTCTAGATCATAGTGTCGTTTGTGGAGAAGATGAAGAGATGACACTAATGGAGAAACTGAATGCAGTCCGTTTGTTTTCCTCTTTTATGTGCAAAATTCAATTTTTTTTAAAATGAAGTGGACGATTTTGGGCTTTTTAGAGGCCCCTAAAATATGAGGCCCAAGGCATGCCTTCGGCCAGGGCCGGCCCTGGGCAAGGCAGACCTCAATGGGTGTACAGAGTCTATTGCATTCCTTGAACTTGTACGGAGTCTACTATATATAAATGAGTAGAAATTATCATCAGTTTAGGTAGCAATGGACCCTCTGACTCATTGTCCAATAGAGTTGTGATGCAAGTTGATGTATTGAACAATGAATTAAAGGGTCCACCGCTATCTAAACCAGTTATGATTGCTCGGTAAAAATAAATGAGAGCGTTTTCGACAGTTATTCTATTACATTGCTGCATATACGAAATTTGGTTAATCTGTCCGGTCCCTCACTTTCTAGCCAAACATCTTCTACAGTGTTGATGTTTTTTGACAAACTCCACTCAGCAATTAAACCTGAAAGTTTACAAAACTACTGCGAGTTCACGATGACATAGAGCAATGCAAGTGCGCAAAAATGGACTCGACTCAATGACAAAACGCTGTCTTCACTTAAATGTAAAATGTTATATCCAGCCAAGAATATGTAAATGGAAAACATTGTTAAGGATATTGCTCAATTACTAGAGAAAAATTAAAAAACAGTAGAAAATTTGTGAAGTTGATTCAAGATTGTATGTTTATTAAGTAATACAGACTAAAAAGAGCTTTTCTTCAGCTACCTTTGATTGACAATAACTATAAAAACCATAGTCATAGTGAGAAGCTAACAATTCCCATTCAAAACTCTTTCTGTTAATTCACTAAGAAAATTAAACCAGATAATCATCACCCCTAAAATTCTCAGCTAGACAATGTAGGAATGAAGCAGCCCAAAGAACAATAGATAAGTAAGCTGATTCAATTTGGTCGAGACAGATGGTGATGTAGGAGCAGTTGCAATGGTAAATGTAGTGTTTCGACTCTCATTTTTCTCTGGAGGTTGCACGTTCAAGTGTAGCTTTAGCCCATTTTTGCAACTTATTGGGTTTCCGCTTGTGAAGTACCTTATTCCTTCCCTGTCAAGGGAAATGTGATTTAGGCCATCCGTGTACGTTCTGATAGGATTTGCTAGATCACACGTTAAGAAATCCTCCAGGCTCTGAAGCTCCAGGACGCTTTCCTGTGCTGCCGAGTATGTAAACCCTGCTCATACATCCCAAAATTGAAGAAGAAAAGAAAGGAAAATATTTGTTATCCTTGGAAATGTTAAAAGCTGATGTGAATCTTCATACTCCTTAACAATTATTGTGGAATGCTTGTTAGCAAGAATACTATTCAAATAATGGCTACTTTTAACAGGATATACAATTTTCAAGTAATGCTTTTGACATTAGTTTATAAAGTAATGCTTTTGATTTGACATTAGTTTATAAGCTAAGACTCACTCATCTGGAGATAATCTTAGCCCCTGTTTCGAACTCATTAAAATTACATTATAATGAGATTTTTCATTTTTCAATAGTGACTACTGTAATTTAAAAATTACAATTTCCTGTTCACTTGTCAATGCATTTATGGTTCAACACAACTGTTAAAAACCCGGATTGACCAAAACACCCCAGCTCCTCAACATTCCATTTACGTAAACACCCTTCTTCATTATTAAATGCTTTTCCCTTTTCAAGGATTACAAAATGTACTACTACAATCACTCATTCCAAAGTGGAAAACTTGCTTTAAATATTCATTTTGACCGACAGTCAAGGACATGGATCCTACAGTCTTAGGAACAAAAAATTGGAGGTTTCTCATTATAATGGGGATTAAACAGGCGCTTAATGTTTGACTTGGATTTTTCTATCCAACTTCTAATGTTTTCTATCACCGGATTCCCTCTAATTGGGCTTTTCTCATGTTCATTAGGAGTTTCCAGATAAACTAATGAAACAGGTTGAAAATCAAATTTTATATTTTTGGAAATAATGTTTCCTGGGAGAACTTCATTGGCTGAGACTTGGAGAGACAGAATACCCTGCCCAGAATGAGGATTTTGGGAATTTTCAGAAAAAAAACCTGTCTTCTTGTTTTAACTACAATTACATCTATATTTCTATACTCATCAGATGTTTATATACAGGTTTAAAACAAAAAAGTCCAGTCAAGACACCGTCTAATTTATCAATAAGTTTAGCCAACCATAGTGATAGGTTCAATTATTTTTATTTCATTTACTTTATATTTTCATAAATAGCTTTATGTTTTTCTTATATTTTGAATTAGTCAAATCAGCCCTTGGTGGGTTGTTAGACATACATAACCTTATTTTCTCCTACATGAGTTCTACAAATGTATTATCCTATTTTTCTTGGTTAGATAGCGAGAGTCATGGAACAACCATTTGAGTTGTGGGGTTATTTTCGATTTATATATAAACACAACGATCAATGAAAATGGGAAGTAAATTATTCTGATTGCAAACATATTATTTGTCATGAACGTTTAGGGTCCTCGAAAATTTAACTCGAGGCTTTTTAGAAAGAACCTATTTCTTCTTTTGATTTTAATAGGAATGCAAACTTATCATAAAACATGTTATAATATTATACAGGGATGCTTACAAATTTTGTCACCCACTCTGAAGAGTCGGCCGGATAACCAAGAATTTATATCCGAATCAGGGTCCCAGCCACGGTCGAAGCCTACAACATGGTGCGCTTGGGCTGAAACCTCTTTCCCTTTGAAGGAGATGGAAATGAGAACCACCAAAACAAGGGCTACGGACACCTTTACTCCAGCCATTTCCACTGTTCTTGTAGCTTCAAAATTAAAGAAAAAAAGGGACTCTCCCTCTCTATTTCTGTTTCTTCAGCTGCTAAAGAGAAGGAGAGTTGGTGAGATGCAGTGGGAGTTAAGCAAAGGATTTTGTTCTTTCCGACTATTCTGGTATTCCGTCTAATAGAAGACTCCCTACAAATATGCTAGACAAAAGAAGAGAACCTTTTTGGTGCTCTTTCACTTTTTTCCTTTATTATCTTGGCTTAGAGTTAGAGGTCAGTCGGCCACGAGCAAGCTTTTACTTCTCAGCGTTCTTAGCTACCCCACAAAGTCACAAATACAAGTTCTGGAGATCAGTTTGAGGGTTGAGGGTTAGTGATGAAGATTTTTCAATTTTGGATCTGAATTCTACATTCAATTTAATTGATAATTCCCTCCTTGATCATCAACCTGTTGATATGTCTTGTTTAGAGTGAAATTGCTTGTTCCCTACCTGGATTGATGTCCCAAATTTTCCATACATCATAAAATTAAATGGGAATTGCATTGCATGCATGGCTTAAAGATATTTTTACTTCAATATTGTATAATATTTATTTTAGCTATTTATAGCTTAATGGAATAATTTTCTTCTAGTAGTGTTACAAGATGTATTAGATGTTGTAATTAATGTACCAAATTCATTAGTTAGTTGATTAAATAGTCTATTTAGACCTAATTGATCGGTAAATTGCTCTTATAGTTAATATGATTAGCTTTCAATTTCTCCTCCATAGCATGCAAGGAACTTGATGTTAAATATTACAATATTGAGTAGTACAAAAGATAAAATACATTTTAGCATGGTAAAGTGCATATTAAGACTTGAAATTTCATCTTAAAATGTTAACTTAATTAAGAAGAGTAGCTCAATCCATTATAAGTTGATATGTATATTCATCTTTATTCGATATGAGATTTTTATCATTTAGTATGTCACCGCAAGATGGTAGCTCTCTTGGTCAGACCAATCTTAAAATTCGTGTGCTTATTTTTTAAGTCTTTATTAGATCAAATCGTTAATCGAAACTTAATAGTCTCTGATACCATATTAAAATTTGACGTTCCTTCTTAAAATAAGGTTTACCTTATTAAGAGGAGTAACTCAATCCTTTATAAGTTGGTCTATATATTCATCTTTATTTGATGAGGAATTTTTATCCCTCAACATACCTTTACGTGACTTTCTTTCAATTGGAGACATTCCACATAAATCAATAAATTTCTCTAATATTTATGTAACTCGGCCTATATTTTTCATAGTTAGTTCATCTAGAAGGTTGCAGTAAGTTGATAGCTAAAGTGAAACATTTTCATATCTCATGATAACATAAGAGTCCCAGTAAGAATGCCAATACACATTTTCTTAAAATGACCCTTGTGCTGCATTGTAAGGTTATTGAAAAATGGGACGAGTTTGTTTGTTTTGTAGTTTTTGTAAATAAAAGACTACACATTACATGAAAAGAGAAGAAGAAGGAACATGCAAAGCATTTTACAAAGATGTATTAATAAATAAAACATTTACTGTTGTTCTCAAGTTATTTATGGTTTTGGGACATTGAAATCCCCTTGTGCACACTTGGATCGAAACTTGGAACTACTTGTACTTCAAATATTTCTGTTGGAGAGTGGAAGATAATAATGTCAGCTTCCTCAGGCAACGTGAATCTCACCCTCTTCTTCTTCAAATTCCCATTTTGACTTATCATAGACAAATCTTCTTCTTCTTCTTTTGATTCATCAATCTTATCCAGTTTCTGTTTCCCCATAGAGAAACTGACTCTTGGTGTAAAAGATCCCGTAGGGGCATGATCAGGAGAAGACAGATACACCTTGTTCGGTTGCGTCAAAACTTGAATTTCACCTCCCACAATACACTCAGGACCATTTAAACCTGAAGGAGAATCCACAAGCCAATCCCTCAAAGTCATCTTCTTTTTAGGGGAATTTCCATTAATTTTGTTGCAAGTCCCTATTTCTTCTGAAGATGATGGCCTCAAACAGCAAATCCTTAATTTGCTCCATGAATTAGCAGAAAATAAGGAAAAAAGAATTGTAGTACGATACTGAGAAAGCATAGGTGAATATTCAAGGTGGGAAATATTTTAGAAGATAGTTTAGAGGGGGATTATAAAGTAAATCGTGACGAACAAACCAATATGAGAGTAATTAATTATCATTGTTCCTAGTTTTTGATTCTTGGACTACATTCACAGTATAGGAACAAATTAAATTTAGGTTTAACTGTCTGAATCTCATCTTATAACAAGGTACCAACAATGGTGTATACGGCAATTAGAATTCGAGCGGTAGAAGACAATATTTCTTGTCTTTTGTTGTTAACAGTCATTGGAAACAAAGATTTTGTCGACAAAGCTGGTGATATAATCAGAGCAGGCTTGATAAAGCTTGTTGTATAGCTCAAAATGGGAACATATTATCTTCAGATGGTAAGAGTAATATGTATGTAGACCAAGAAACAGCATCAATAATGCATGTGACTAGTTTCCAAGAAAATTCGTGTTCTGTATATGCTCTTTTTTATTTTTTCTTTGATTCACAGTAATTTTTCTCCCTTCTCTCACGTGATTGTAAGTTTATAGCCAAACAACATTATACCGTGGTGTATCCTCCTCTTTTTTTTTTTTTTTTTACACACACATGCACGTGCATATGAGAAAAGTGTCGACTAAATTATTTTTCATCTCTCTCCTTAATTTCTTCCAACTTATTCTTAGAAGAATATGTTGCACATTGTATTCTTTAAAGAGCAATTATATTTAGTATTGTTAGTATTACAACACCAGTTTACTAAACGTCATTAAATGAAAGGTACAATTAAATAAATTACATAATTTCATCTTTAATTGAACATATCATATAGTGTCATATAGACCGATTCTAGATAGCATTATTCTTTTTTACGTGCAAATAAATGGATAAAATAACCACTTACCTACCTATGTTGATGAAATAAAATTAAATAGAAAGGTATGAGGAAGAAATGAAGGACAATGAAATTTAAGATGGCTGAGGTTTGACTATTTTTTTAAGATGATAATGCAAACATACTAATGCTATCCGACACTTATTTCCATATATACAACGATTAGACCTTGTAATAGTAGCAATTCAAATAACAAGAACCACAAACCTACTTTTGTTTTTACCCTCTGAAATGAAGAAGGATTGAAAGTATGCAGAACAAATTTTTCAGGATTGAATGCAGAAGGAATAGTGCAAAGAAAGATATGAGAGAATTTTGGAATGAACAAAATCTGGAAATGAACTTTTTTATTTAGAAGTTTGAAAATTGTGTTTCAAAAGATACTGACTTCTTGAAACGGCGTATGTGAACAAACACCTTTTGTTCGAAAGGGAACATATTTATCTGTGAAAGGAAATATATATTCTAGAAGTCGCCACCATTTGTAACAATTTGTAAGGTAAGAAAGAAAGAAGTAATTTTTATATACATATTTTGTTCAAAAATAGCACTCTCTCCATCTCGTAAAGATATGTCACTTTTTTGATTGAGAATAGAGTTAATTTTTTTTTTTTCAATTTGTCATTATTTAATGTATTCTGTTATTAACAAATATGAGCTATTCCTATTTAATTTTTATTTCATGTAGGGGTATATTAGTAAAAATATATAAAAAAAATTATATTTCCAACTGTATTAATTAAATTTTATTAATCTATGTGAAAATGAAAACAAGTATATCTTTATCAAAAATTCTGCATGTACAGAATATTGTTTCACAGAAATTGACAAGAAATCTCACATTGTGCGGGCCCTAGGTGATGATAAAAAATCTGAAAAATCACTCACTCCTCTTGCTATTGTGTTTTATCTGTGCAAGTCTTAAAAGAAAAGTTTCCATACGTGTAGTGCTATTGTATCTTTATAGATTAGGGGAGTACATCAACATGGTGGTGGAAGCCACCATATATCCAATTCCAATTTTCAAGTTCCAATAAACTCTTTTTTAACCTTAATTTTTCATTCAACCAAATGTTTCGAGTAAGTAAATATACTATGATGATTTGCTCATGGACTATCACACGTTTGGTCAAAGAACTCCCGTAATTGGTCCAAATCAACTTATTAAATAACAATTTTCAACACTTCTAATCACACATTCTCCAAAATTATAATTTAAAAAATAAATAAATAAATAAATAAATTCAAATAATCACCTCCCCACGACTTCTAAAATGTATACTAATAATAAAAACTTACAAGTTAACACGTGACATAAACATGAGATGCATCATTAAGGTGCAATATTTTCTGCATTTTGCACAGCCATGAATAAATTATGTGCAACCTCCCTAGACTGCCCATGTACAATTTCAATTAAGCAGAACCTCTTAATAAGGAAGTTATTTTGTCACGAGTGAAGCTCGTAAAAACACGACAATGTCTGTCAACGATGATGGTCAACGAAGTTCTTCAACATTAGGCGAAGCTTATCTAATGCGGGCGAAGATTGTACACCTCAACATTTTGGAAATTTTCAATGCAAAGGTGCACCATATAAGTCCTACGCTTAATATGAATTACATTCCAAAAATCTACAAGGATGCCATGTAAGTACCACTGTTGAACCGAGAAAAATACTCGTATAAAAAATATAAAAGGAGAACCAATTGTAATGGGCTTGAACAAAATAGACGAATGACTCCCGATTCAAGCTAGCCAAAAATCATTATTGAAGCGTACATAGACTAGTAAATAAAACGAGATATTGCAACAAAATCATTTACAAGCTAGCCAATAATAGGTCGCCACCTGTCGTTTATCCTAGAATGACCAAATTGCCCCCAAAAGCCTTGAAAGAAATCTACAAATACCCTTCCGCCTCAGAAAAAAGGGCATGTAAATTTAAATATATCCATCACAAATAGTCATTTCTCTTCTTGCTCCAATTTGAGTAATTTCTCTTCTTGCTCCAATTTGAGTACAAAAACTAGTGGGTTTAGGAGGCGAAAATCATAACTAGATGACAGAAATTTTTTGCTCCGATTTCTATCGTTAATAAATTGATGTCATCCGAATGAAACCAAAGCAAAGTAAACCACGAGATTTCCTATCATAGTTGAGAAATCCTTGAGATCT